TCGTGTATTTCGGCGGTGTTACTTGCGCGGCGTCGCCAAAGTATCGTTCGCGCTCGCTCGCACGCCTGCGTGGTGTGCGAGCGAGACGCGATGCGTTCTACTACACGTGAGCGATATACGATACGCTCCAGAATTTATTGATTTACTGTATCGAATCCATATTACTTATCTGTTTTATCACTTGTGAGGCACTTTTCTCAATTCGGTCCTGGATTTAACATGACGGATGCTCACGTGATCCGGAAAAGGAGATCAAAGGTGCCGACACGAAGTGGACCTACTGGTTATACTGTGGCCTGGCCCTGAGCGCGTGAACCAGTGTTGCCAACTCTTGAGAAAAAGAAAAGCTAGATAGTACTTGAAAAAAAGCTAAATAATAGCTATATTTTATTAAAGTTAAAACATTTAAGTTTAAACACATATTTAGAATACATATTATATTAGATATATTTGAAAGTTTATTTAAATAACAAAATTAGCTTTAAAATTGCACATCGCGAGCATATTACATAGCGTATAAGATATATTATATAAGATATTATCATAAAGTATATAATTATAAACTATATTATATTATTCGTAATATAAGAAAATGTACTAACGTAATAAAAAATCATGACAAACAATTAAATAAAACATTTGGAAAATAATGCATCATTTAAGTCCAAATTTTCATATTTTTGGGGATAAGCTTTGTTAATACCAATACGATTTAATACATTTTTCGATAGTACCAATACAATTTGATACATTTTAATACATTTAATAATTCATAATTATAACAGCACTTTTCATGCCTTTTTAAACCATAGCATACACATAATATTGAATTTATTATATTTAGACTTAAGTTTATTCTTGTTTTATTTTTTACCAAATTGGCTGAATATACGCTCAACTTCTGCATTTGACATTGGGAGCACCAAAAATAGTAAAGCTACTTCAGCAATATTTTTAAAAAAATTTTCACCTATAGCGTCTCGATACTTGTACACTTCTTCTCAAAAATGTACAGTATAGTGTATTTTCTTCCATTGAACTTGAAATGAATTTTATTATATTCGATTCCTATATGTGAAATCTCAATATTCATTTCAGTTAATAAATGTGTAATTGGTTGTTTTTGATGTTTAAGTACATTTTCAACCGAAAATAAGTTAATCTTTTATAAAATACTAGCGGTTACCCGGCATGCATTGCAATGCTACTTAAAGGAAAGAAAGTGCTTGTGTTTTAATTCCGTTTATTGAAGTGCTTTTGGATACACAATATTTTTTGTTTTTCCATCTGGTGCGTACACGAATAAATCAGAAGATTTTCCGACGCGTGAGTAGGCCACATACAGCTGTCCATGTGAGAAGCATGGATTTTCCAAAGGCTGTAGCCGGATAAGGAGGGGTGATCTGCCCCTACGCCGATCATGACCATTTTTTACAGTATAGTTGCTATCAATATCAGTTACAAAAAAATATAACTTTGTTCAATTTAAAGTACTTGAAGTTATTTATATAACTATTTTAAATAACTATTATAAGTTATACATATTCGTAACAAAGAAATATAACTTTGTTCAATTTAAAGTACTTTAGAAGAATTTACTAATTGTAAGCACAATGATATTTATATTTATACGTGAAATAGTATTTACTTTTCAACAATACTGGATTAATGACAAAATACAGTCAGTACTCTAAGAATGTACTTCTTATTATAGAAAGTAACAACGAATAGAAACAAGTTCATTTATTTTTTGTCAAGTTAGTTGCATGAAGTTAATCGTAAAATAAAGAAAATGAAAATCCGAAACATCAAAATGAAACTCTATAACTCTATAATATCTAACCACTTAATTGCAAAATCTTTAGAGAATGTGCTCATAATTGAATGAAGGTATTATATATGTTCAATTATACATTTCTTAAGTTATGCGTTAAAAATTGAGTTAGCTTTTCGTAGTGGACCGATAAGATGGTTTTAAAAAATCAGGAAAAGAATATTTTATTTTTTTTAAGTATCAAGTACCCATTTCAAAAATTTGAAAAAATATATGTTGTAGAATAGCATCCAACAATTTCACAAAAAAATTTTCGTAATGGTATTGGATGGATGAGATAGTTAAAAAAATTGGAAGAGAAAATTTCTTTTTTTTTTAAGTATCAAGTACCCATTTCAAAAATTTGAAAAAATTACATGTTAGAGAATAGCATCTAATAATTTTACGGCAAAATTTTTGTGGTAGCACAAGACCGATAAGATAGTTAAAAAAAAACAAATAAAAATATTTTATTTTTTTTGCAATATTTCTGGCCTCAAAAAATCTTCGAAATTTTTTTACAAATGTATCTTGTCTACATCTACAACATATTTTTTTTTATAAAAATTGATTGAGTCGTTTAATAGATATAAATTTTGTTTTAAATTTTTATTTTTATTTTTCACACCCTAACGGTTGAATATTAAGAGCTAATGGTTGGTAAAATTGTAACTGATATTGATAGCAACTAAACTGTAAAAAATAGTCATGATCGGCGCGGGAGCAGATCGCCCCTCCTTATCCGGCTACGGCCTTTGGTTCAAAAATCGAGATTAAAAAAACGGACGATTTTTGCGATGGCTCTTTCAAGAGAGTGTAACTTCGTCAAAAATGATCGTAACAAAATGATCAAAGAAGTATTTTATAGCTTAAAGTCTCTACTTTCGAAATCCATAATTCATTAAATGAGTTACTGATTCTTTACAAAGCTGTACGGATGCAAATAAAGATGCATCAAATCTAAAATTTTTTTACTAAATTTGCGAAGTTCCATGGAGTAAAATAAAAATCGCAAATGCGACTTATAGCGTCCGAAAGCGTTAATCTTTACCTTTAATTTGCGCACTCGATCAGTATTATGCGATTCTTTCACCGAGTTACTTAACATTGAAGTACACGGAAAAAAAATTTTGCTGCCATAGCTAACCATGGTTTGTTAAAAC